GCTATAGGCGCCGAGCCTGTATATAAATTCTTATGTAAAGCAAATGAAAAACTATTCTTAAGTAGATTTTGAAATTTTGTTTACACTGCTAATATCTTTGGTTATAATTTAGTTCCAGGCATTACTTAACTTCTATCTAAATTGTGATAAGTTATGCATTTGCATATTATTAAATTAAGGATCCTGTGTCTGGGAATCTACTAATTTATAAATATTTTCATTAGTATATGAAATTCCTTCTGGACGTTTCATGAGAGAATTATGTGGCCATCTCAATATTATTTATGATCTCTGCTGGTCAAAAGATGATCGCTATATCCTTACATCATCATCTGATGGCACTGCCAGGTGAGTATACTTGAGATGTACTTATGTGTATGCTGCTTATCATCAAAGAAAGCAAAAAGAATATAAAATGATATAACTAATCTCTCTGTCTTAACAAAGAGATATGGGGACTGATTTTTTTAAGGCTTGTCTTTGACCTGTGCTTTTATTTTTTTTTATTTAATTTAATTTTTATTAAATCATAACTATATACATTTATGGGGTACAATGTGATGATTTGACATACAATATGGAATGCTAAACCAAACTGATTAACAATAACCGTCACCTCACTTACTTATTTTTGTGGTGAGACATTTATAATTTACTTTCAGTTATTTTGAACTGTACTCTTGCACTGTGAACATCAGCCGAGATCTAGGCTGATTTTTTTTTTGTTTTGTTAAATCATAGCTGTGTACATCAGTGCAATCATGGGGTAAAATGTGCTGGTTCCACATACAGTTTAAAATATTTTCATCAAACTGGTTAACATGGCCTTCATGGCATTTTATTAGTTATTGTGTTAAGACATTTATATTCTACATTTAGTAAATTTCACATGTACCCTTGTAAGACTTGTGCTTTTAATCTCAGAGAATAACTACTCTTATTCTTCATTTTTTACCTATGAAAAGACTGTCACAAATGTGCATCATACAGACTGACAGAGTCAATAAATAGTAGTAAAACTTTATACTTAAATATCTCTTACTTATGTAACATTCTTACATAATATTCAATATTTCTGGTCCTCACTATCTTTAAGGTATTATATGTAAACTGATAAATACTTTGAGATGCATTTATTAGATAGACAACTAGATTTTTTTCTGGAACATAAAGTCTAGATGGTAGGGATTCTGTTTTCATTATTGGCTGGCTACAGAGGCTAGAACCCAGTGGTACTCACTACATAGCTGTAAGAGAAATCAGTGGAACGTTATGTTTTAAGAGTTTTATAGACTGTTAAATATACGCATTTTCAGAATGTCAATCTTAAAATAATTTATCCCTTTTCAATGTATCACAATAAAAAAATTTAATGCTAATTTTTAAAATTTCATTTGTGCTTTTTTAGCTGCCTCTACCTTGAATGTGATCTAAAAATACTACAAGACAATTTTCAAGGTGCTTTTATATATGCTATCTAATTTGATTCCAACAGCTGTTAGTGGCCATACGTTATTCTCTCTGCTAGGAAAGTGACATGTGGAGCAATTTGAGATCATGATGATTTGACTCTTGTTTCCTTCTGTCTCCTACTCTGTTAATACTTCATGATATGCTTATGTCTTCGGGCCTCCACCCTTTTTAAGAGTTTGACTTGATATTATACATTTCAATCTGAATGGCCCAGTGCCATCTCAGTCCCAAACCAAACTTTCTGACTTCCTCATTTTCTTCTTTTAGTCATTTTGCATGTATTTTTAACAGTGTCTTTATCTGCCCTGTCTCTGAGCTGGGGACTCAGAGTAGTGCTCATCCTTCTTTCTTTCCCAACATTCCTTTTCACCTAATTTGCTCTAAAGTGTACCGATTCTCCTCTTAAAAGGCTCACCATTCTGTCACATCCTCATTGCTTTTGCCTTAATTCAAGCCTTTGTTATCTCTTGCTTAAGTTGTTGCCATTAAACTTTCCCAGTGTTCAGTCTTTAGGTCCTCTGTCTCTGCTGTATTAAAAATTTATCTTTCCAAAACTATCTTTCATAATACCTTGATTTTAAAAACTGTTTGATTACCTTCCAGTTTCTTAGTATGAAAGACATGTTCCTCATTGACCGTACCTCCTTCTCTTGTGCACTTCCCTGTACCCTTTACTTCACCCACACAACCTTTAGAAATACCCTTTCTTGGCATCTTATCTTCTTTGGCATCTTCATGCCCTTTCGCCTTACCTACTCTTTCTATACTTAAATGCCCTTCCACTAGCCTTCCTAACTCATTCATTTAACAGAAATTTATTAAGTGATTTTTGTGAGCCATAGTAGGTTCATAGTCATTCTTTAAAATCCACCTTAAATTTAACATTTCTTGAAGCCATCTTGGGTTTATCCATGTAATATATAGTTATTATAGTAAAGTATATTTTTCCTTCTGTAGCTTGAAAACTGATACTAAATTAGGATTCTTTATATCATAAAAATATTATTATGTAAGCATTAATAGAGAAAAAAAGCATTGTGGCTAGAGTCAAAAAGAAAAGGAGAGATTTGAAAGAGGTAAGGAATACTTGTAATGAGTAAGCTGAAACCAAAAGGAAGAAAAATAGAATTAAAATAGAATAAATGCTTATATATAAAAGGCAGGGTATAGATTTCTGCCCATGTCTTCTCATTCTGGATTGCTGAGAATCACTGTCAAATGTTATCCTCAGTGTCTAAGTATTTTCCCTGGTTAGATTTCTGCCACAAGTTTATCCTAAATCCCCTTCTTTAGCTATGTCCAGAATAAGCTCTATTTTTCTCAAACAGCAGCTCCTAACATGGGACTCCCCATGTGTAATGCCTTCCATAGAGACCCACATGTCCCCACTCCCCATTCTTCATACATACTGTTTAACTTTGATATGTTTTTCTCTAACTCTTGTAACTTTTTGGTGTGTTCTTTCAGTCTATAAATTTGTGTTTCCTTTTTCTCTGTGAGTCTTGATTTTTTTCGCAAACCCAAAATTCTTCAATTTTACTGTTGTCTGAGTAACAAAAGCTATTATTACTACTAGTTTTTGTTTTTATATAAAAACCTTCATTTTATTTAAAAAATTATGTATAAATTTTATTAAACAATTGTGAAGGTATATTTTCTTCATTTCTCCTTGTTAAGTATTATTTTAAATAATGCTGCTAAGATTTATTAGCAAGCGACTAAGGTTTAATTCTCTTTCTAATATTTCCTTCAAATTAGTGATTTTATTCTTTTAATGAGCTTCATATTTCATGTAGCATAGGTCATTGAAAAACATACTGTGACAAAAATATTTTTACAATGACACACGTGCTTTATTTTTACTTGAAAACATGTTCTTTCACTTCCTTCAGTATAGTTTGGATTCTTAGTAATTGAAGGTCATATCCTATATTTTAAACAGCTGCTGAGAAAACTCATAGAATGTTATTCTTGAATAGCAACTGTTATTTTTTCTTTGATCAGTAATTTTATGAAAGACTTAATATGCTTTAGTTTTTAGACAGTAGCTAAAAGGATGAACTATTAAATCCTCATATTAAAAGTTAATAGATTCTTCTAATTCTAATAACCAAACATAAAAAAATTCAATATTCCGCATGCATATAGCACCTGTTTATTGCTAGATTTTGCCTAATTTTACATAAGGCTAGAAATGTGGAGGACCTAATATAACAGGTGAACCCCAGGGTTTACTCTTTCATCAAGACTAGCAGTTGGGTGGCCCCTGTGGGTAGGGGCTCAGTGGGTAGGGTGCCAGCCCCATACCGAGGTTGGCGGGTTCAAACCTGGCTCTGGCCAAACTGCAACAGCAACAAAAAAATAGCCAGTTGTTGTGGCAGGTACCTGTAGTCCCAGCTACTCGGGAGGTGGAGGCAAGAAAATCTCTTAGGCCCAGGAGTTGGAGGTTGCTGTGAGCTGTGACGCCATGGTACTCTACCGAGGGCGATAAAGTGAGACTCTGTCTCTAAAAAGAAAAAAAAAAAGACTGTAGCAGTGATAATAAGATCTTAAATTTTTAAAAATTCAACCATTACTTAGAAGATAATGAGAATATTAAACATAAAAGGAGTACTTAATATAGGATAGTCTGATTTCTATCAAAATGACTTAATTATTTTAATCTTATTTCACTTATGAATTCAGAATAATTTCAGTATGTCTTTCAAGTCTTTGAGATGTTCATGTTTATTATCTAGACTTTGAAATTACAAATATAAAAGTTAAAAGAGTATTCTATTCTCTAAACCAATATTAGTAAGCATTTTACAAAAGCAGTATACACAACCTAAGTGGGAAATCATTAATGTTTTTTCCTATATATTTTTATTTAATTGTACTAAGTGTAATATTTTACCAATTATTTGTTGTACATTTACTCAATATTAAAAATAGGTAGGTTTTAAAAACAGATAAATACAAATACTTTTTTTAATTTTACAGTGTAGATTATAATTAGTGAATATAGTATGCCTAATAGCTAAGAAGTAATTTCATTAAAATGTAAAAAATTCGTCAAATATATACTCATGATTGTATTTTTTACTGTCATAAAACGTAGTTTACCACTGGTTGTTGTCACTTGCTTACTTAATGTTCATTTATATGGGTTTTTAGAAAAACTGTTAAAATTTCTGCCTTTGGCTCGGCGCCTGTAGCTCAACCGGCTAAGGCGCCAGCCACGTACACCTAAGGTGGCGGGTTCGAATCCCCAGCCCGGACCCGCCAAACAACAATGACGGCTGCAACCAAAAAATAGCCGGGCGTTGTGGCGGGCGCCTGTGGTCCCAGCTACTTGGGAGGCGGAGGCAAGAGACTCGCTTGAGCCCAGGAGGTTGCTGTGAGCTGAGATGCCACGGCATTCTACCCAGGGGGACAGCTTGAGGCTCTGTCTCAAAAAAAAAAAAAAAAAAAAAAATTTCTGCCTTTTAGAACAATATGTAACTTTTTATCCTTTTCCAGGATATGGAAAAATGAAATAAACAATACAAATACTTTCAGAGTTTTACCTCATCCTTCATTTGTTTACACGGCTAAATTCCATCCAGCTATAAAAGAGCTGGTGGTTACAGGATGCTATGATTCTATGATACGGATATGGAAAGTTGATATGAGAGAGGATTCTGCTGTACTAGTCCGACAGTTTGATGTTCACAAAAGTTTTATCAACTCACTCTGTTTTGATACTGAAGGTATGTCACAAATATGTTCCATATGAAGATAAGCTACATGAAGAATTTTTTTTTTTTTTTATTGTTGGGGAATCATTGAGGGTACAAAGAACAGCTGCTTGCATTTGTTAAGTAAAGTTATGTCCTGCCCCCAAGAGGTATGTCAAACACCATGACCTCTGACCCATCTCCCTCCTTCCCTTTCTCAGCTCCCCCATTCGCCCACCCACTACCATATACTAGTATCTACAGGAAGAATTTTTTTGGATTTTGCTAGAATAATATTTAAGCTTTAGAGGGAGTTTATGTGTGTTGTTGATTATGCATATTTAGGTTTATGCTTATTTTGCAACTCACAGTATAGATTTGACACTGAGAGAGGTCTGTTTGTAATTTCTTTTTTCTTTCTTTTTTTAAATTTCAGAATTTTACTGGAGTGTACATGTTTTGGTTACATAGTTTGTTTTGTACATTTCTGATCAAAGTTGTAAGTGTGCCTTTCACCCAGAATGTGTGCACTGTTATCAGTTAGGTGTAAATTAACCCAACCCTTCCTCCCCCCTCCCGCCTACTTGATTCCCATCGAATTTTACTTCCCTATGTGCACATAAGTGTTAATTGAGTAGTTCTAATTTAGTGTTGAGTACATGTGTGTTTATTTTTCCATTTTTGTGCTACTTCACTTAGAAGAATGGTATCTGGGTTTAACCAGGTTGTTAAAAAGATAATCGATCACCATTTCAAGATCATCATCATCATCAAGTTGAAGAATCCTCCCTAAATTGTTCTACAAAGCCAATATAACCTTGATACCAAAGTTAGGAAAGGGCACACCAAAAAAGAAAACTACAGACCAATATCCCTTATTAATGTAGATGAAAAAGTTCTCAATAAAATCTTAGTAAATCAAATTCAGTAGTGTATCAAAAAAAAAAATTCATCATGACCAAGTAGGCCTCATCCCAGAGATGCAAGGGAGGTTCAACATATGCAAATTTGTAAGTGTAATCTACCACATAAATAGATACAAAAACAATGACCATATAATCCTTTCAATAGACAAAGAAAAAGCATTTGATGAAATTTAGCACCCTTTTATAAAATGAATGCTTAACAAAATAGGCATAGATAGGACTTACCTCAAAATTATAAAGACTATATAATACAAAGCCACAGCCAACTTCATATTGAACAGGGAAAAATTGAAAGTAGTCCCACTTAGAACTGGAACTAGGCAAGGTTGCCCACTATCTCCACTTCTGTTCAATGTAGTGCTAGAAGTCCGAGCTAGAGCAATCAGACGAGAAGAAAATCAAGGAGGTTCTAAATGGGGAAAAAAGAGGTCAAATTATCACTCTTTATTGACAACACAATCTTATATCTCGATAACCCCAGAGATTCAACCAGTAGACTCCTAAAATTGTTAAATTTAGTGAAGTCTCAGTCTACAAAATAAGTGTGAACAAATGCCTTTCATATATGGCAACCATAGTCAAGCTGAGTAGAAAAGAAAAGATATAGTGTATAATACCTTTCTCAATAGCAACAAGGAAAGTAAGATACCTACGAGTATATTTAACTCAGGAAGTGAAAGACCTCTGTTTGCAATTTTCAAGTAATTATATTCCTAAACATTTAGATTAAGTTAATCTTTGCTGTAACAACCAGTCATATACCAAGTTTCATAAATATGTTTCTTTGAACTTGTGATAAACATTTTAAGTAGATTTTTTTTCCCAAGGACTTTTTAATTTAAAGGGCACAGGGGAAAAAATTCCCAAAATAATGTTGAAAATATTACAGGTATATTTTTTTTAATCTTTTTGAAAATATTATACATATATATATTTAGAGACAGAGTCTCATTTTGTCACCCTCAGTAAAGTACTATAGTGTCACAGCTCACAGCAACCTCTAGCTCTTGGGCTTAGGCAATTCTCTTGCCTCGGCGTCCTGAGTAGCTGGGACTACAGGTGCCTGCCATGATGCCTGGCTACTTTTTGTTGCAGTTTGGCCGGGGCCAGGTTCGAAACCTCCACCCTTGGTACATGGGGCTGGTGCCCTACTCACTGAGTAGTATATTTTATGTTATAAATATAGCAATAGGATTTTAAATATAGCAATAGAATTTTCTTAAACATACAAACACAGAAGGTTTTGCAATTAAAGGTTAATCTTAGTATATCAATAATTACTTTAAAGATGTAAAATATAGATTGTTTTATTATCTGAAAAAATACAGAAATTTATTAGCTATTAGTCAGTTTTTATATAATTTCAGAGACTGGATATGTAAACCATATCTGTAATTAATTAGTATGGGATCCAGACCAAAATGATGCTACTGTTAATGTACTCTGTTCAACTATAGGGATAGAAATAAATTTGGAACATAGTTAGGAAAGGCTCTGAGTAAAAAGATGTCTGGACATTCTGCCATAATAGAAGTAGCCCAGATTATAAAAGAGCAATAAAGAATTTCTTTAAATATTTGGACATAAGATATCCAAATGTAAAAAAAAAATGACGAGAGGCAAGGAAAGCATTCTATGTCACTCCAGTAGGTAGAGGCAGGGCCAAAACTGCACGAGACAGATTTTCTTTGCTCAGAATTAGAAAGTGCATTATACTACATGGAGTAGTTCAATAGTGGTATAGGCTGTTTTATAAAATATTAAATTCATGCTTGCTGAATAACTGTCTGTTAGTGATAAATGTGAAAGATATTCCTGAGTAAGTATGAGGTTGATGATCTTTGATGTCCCAGTTAACTTTAAGGCAATTTGATTCTAAAGAATGGATGTTAAATTAGAGAACCTATTATTATTTTATTCATTCCCTCATTATTTATTGATTCCTACTAAGTCTTAGATAATCATGCTAACAGTATATGGTATATTAGAGAGGTTTTTTAGGAATATGAAACATTATATAGCTTAATAAGGTGAGCGATATAAATATATTTTGGTTTTGTAATATTCCATATACACCTGCACTGAGATGTTCTTTTTTTCAGTTTTTAAATTCAGGTAAGCACCAAAGGGAAATAAGCCATCAAAAATAAAAGAGTAAAAAATTCATTTAAAGATAATTGGGACTTGATTGTGAGTTGTATTTTGATTTTTTGTTTTTAAATTGAAATACCTCTTGCTAATCCTTCAATTATTTGATTGTTTTTCTGGGATGTGGTTTCCATGAACTTCATATTATTTGCTCCTAACTCTGTATGCCATTTATAAGTAATTTTATTTTTTAAAATAGGTCATCACATGTATTCAGGAGACTGCACAGGGGTAATTGTTGTTTGGAATACCTATGTAAAAGTTAACGATTTGCAACATTCAGTGCGCCACTGGTCTATAAATAAGGTAAAAAATCATATTTTATATTTTGAGATTTATTTTTAAGAATTATAAAATGATCTAACTACATAACATTTAAGTAGGACATCAGAGTGTTCTCGAATTTCAGAAAATTATCAGTTTTTCTCAGTCCCTGAAAAATCAGTTATCAATAACTAATGATTGCAATTTCCTGATGGCTAATTGATGTAAAGATTTAATTTGGCCAGGCTTTACTTTTACTTTTTTGAGCCCAAATTTGCACTGACATGTCTGCTAAAATGAGATGTATGTTATATTGCCATCTCTAAGTAATAGCTTTTATTTTCTGTTACTCATATCCATTTTTTCTTGGTCCAATAACATCTTTCTAAAAACAGTGCATTGAGTGTTCTGTCAACAGTGATAGCTTTCAGAATTATATAACAATGATGGAGGTTTATCATTTAATCATAGTAATTATTTCACTTGAAATGTGCTAGAGAGGCAAAAACAAATGAATAAATTCTTTCATTTTTGAGATATTTTTAAGATGGCTTTTATGTTAATCATTTTGTTAGTTTTTTTTTTTAGTTTTTTAGTGAATGATACAAATGAATCATTAAACTTGAGTTTTATTTTATATAAATCGACATAGGTCTGCCTAATGTAACGTACCATTGTTCTTTAATTTTTCATAATAGATTGTAACAATAGTTGTCCTCATTTGAAAAAAGGTACTCTACATAAAAAAGAATTTTCATGAACTTTAGTTAAATCTATTGAGTCTATCAAATCTGTTTAAAACACAGTCTATTCTATTTTTAATCATTCTTGTCTAGTCTGTCAGATAAATGAATGTCTTAGGATTCATAATGTAGCCTAATTTTATATACTTTGGAAAGAACTTTCTAATTACTTGTATACCTGAGGGATTGGCAAGGCTCCAATTCCATTCATTTGCGTTTGCAATGCAGAATTTATCTTTTTTTATATAAATCATGTGTTTCTTTACCTTAATATATAGTAATTAAGAGTTATATTTACCTTGAAAAATCTACATCTTGGGCTTTGCTTGAGTCAAAAATAAAATGTTAGGGAATGGACTAGAGTATCTTTTTATTATCTAATACTATATGGAAAGTTGGAAACTGATTTCATACAGGGCTTTATTCAGCCAGCAGTGGGAGGAGGGGAATATTGAATTATACTCATCTGTCCCTTAAAGATGAAGTATGTCATATGCTATTGTGTACACTCCATGGACTCAGACACTGGCTTAAAAAAAAGTTTGAGTATGAATATGGTAAAGAAAAATACGGATATAAAAACTGCTATATCTGCCAGTAACTTTCTCAGATCTATACCTAACACTTAACTTCTTAGGCGTTTTGTTTTTGATTTTACACTTTTGCATCTGTTCCAGTTGCTCAGATCCCCAATAGTGCTTCCCTCACCCCCAATTTGTTATAATTTAGCTCACTGACACCTCATCTGTGATGTCAATATTTCACTTTTTCTGTAACTTAAAAAAAATAGCTGATGGCAGGTCTTAGTGTTAAACAGCTGTAGCAGAGGCACAATTGCTAGTATGAATGGACTACAGAGGTATATAGCCCACCTCTGCTGGAGCCATCACCCAGCTAAAGGAAGACTCTGGATGAAGGAAGCAAGAAACATTCAGGGATCCTTCAGGGAGAAGAAGGCTAACTCAGAGTTCTCCTTGCAGGTTAATGCAGGCATCCCTTTGACTTTAGAATAAGCAACTTTGCATTTGAGATTTTTTTTTCTCCCAGTAATTTAAACAATAAGGACCTCTTGTCATTCTTTTAATACATTTTGTTATGTATATTTAAGGTATAATTTATGAGATACACATAGATAGTAAAAAGGTTACTATACTGAAACACAAAGTTAACTGTGTGACATGATGGATGTTAATTTGTTTTTGTGGCAAGATCAGTTAAAATTTACTCATTTAATATGAATCCTAAATATGGTACCATTTTGTTCCTCATAGTCCTCATGTTATTTATTGTATCTCTAGACTTGTTCATCCTACATATCTGCTACTATATGTATCCTCTGACCTATGTCTTCCCATTTTCTCCCTCATCCCTACCCTTATAACCGCTGTTTTGTTCTCTGTATATATTTTGTTTGTTTGTTTGAGACAGAGTCTCACTGTGTCACCCTTGGTAGAGTGTCGTGGCACCACAGCTCATAGCAACCTTAAAATCTTGGGCTTAAGTGATTCTCTTGCCTTGGCCGCCCAAGTAGCTGGGACTACAGACACCCGCCACAATACCTAGCTATTTTTTTTGTTGCAGTTGTCATTGTTTTTAGGAGGCCCAGGCCAGATTCCAACCTGCCAGCCCCAGTGTATGTGGCAGAGGCCCTAACCACTGAGCCACAGGCACCAAACTTGTTCTCTATATATTTGATTTTTTTTTCTTTTTAGCTCCCACATATAAGTAAAATTATGTAGTATTTTTCTTTCTGGTTCTTGCCTATTTCATTTAGCATAATATCCTCCAGGCTTATCCATCTTGCGGCAAGTGGCACGATCTTCTATTTTTAGAGCTGAATAATAATAATACAGTATATCTCACAGTTTCTTCACCTATTCATCTACTGGCAAACATTTAAATTGTTTCCATATCTTGGTATTGTGAATAATGCTGCAAAAAATATGGGAATGCAGATATCTTTATGAGGTGGTGGTTTCATTTTGGGAGGGCTGAGGAGAGTGGAGATAGGCCCAGAAAAGAAATTGCTTGATCATATAGTAGATTTATTTTTAATTTCCTTACAACCTACATACTGTTTGTCACAACAGCTGTACCGACCTACATTGCCACCAGCAGTGTGCAGGACCTTTCCTTTTCTCCATACCCTCACCAACATTTATCTTTTGCCTTTTTGGTAGTAGCCAACCTAAAGTGTGTGAGGTAGTATCTTATTGTGGTTTTGATTTGTCTTTCTTTGGTGATTAATAATGTTGAGCACTTTTTCATATATCACTGGCCATTTTTATGTCTTCTTTGGAGAAAAGTCTGTTCAGATCTCTTGCCTATTTTTAAATCAGATTATTTATTTTTCCATTACTGAGTTATGTGAGTTCTTTATAAATTTTGGATATTAACTCCTTATCAGATATATGGCTTGAAAATAATTTTGCCTAATCCATAGGCTACCATTTCTTTTTGTTTCCTTTGCCATACAGAAACTTTCCAGTTAAATGTGATCACATTTACTTTTGCTTTTGTGGCCTGAGCCTTTGGTGGGATATATGAAAATCATTGCCAATAGTAGACCAATATCCAGTGTTTGCTTTATGGTCTCTTCTAGGAGTTTTAGAGTTTCTGGTCTCACCTTTAGATTTTTAATCCATTTTCAGTTGATTTTTATGTATAATGTAAGACAAGGGTCCACTTTAATTGTTTTGGTAATTTTCCTAAGCAAGCATCATGGAGGCAGGTTTTCCTTGAGTGTTTATGTACTTTTTGACATCATTAGTTGAGTAGCTTGTTTAACCGTTCAATTAACTGTCAAAAGCGCCACCTAAAATTACAGGCTAATTTAAATAATTTCAGAATAAGATGCTGATAGCCTAACTTTTTCAAGAAAACTGGAAATATGTGAAGAAAAAAACTTGAAACTGTAACGGAACTTGAAAGTTAATTCTATATTTAGTTTTGAATTTCTTCTATGATGTTAAACAGAAAATACAATGTTAGATATGTTTATTAAAAGTGTTTGGGACTGACTAAATTTTGGGAAAATGAATGTACTACAAACATACATGCTAATTAACTGCAACATTATAACAATACAAAAAGACAGGCTCAGCGCCTGTGGCTCAAGTGGCTAAGGCACCAGCCACATACACCTAAGGTGGTAGGTTCGAATCCAGCCCAGGCCGCCAAACAATGATGGCTGCAACCAAAAAATAGCCAGGTGTTGTGGCGGGTGCCTGTGGTCCCAGCTACTTGGGAGGCGGAGGCAGGAGACTTGCTTGAGCCCAGGA